ATACAATACAAGTTTATTAAAGTCATGTCTTTCTTGGTCCAACCTTGTACAATCCTCCAATAGGTCCTAAATTTGAGTAACCACGAGGTATCTGCGCGGAGCATTAAACTTGATGGCCAACAGAAAAGAAGTTCTTTAGTTGTCTCTCTGGTTTGCAAAGTTTCAACTCACTTTCAGACATAGAAGTGTCGCGATAAAAGTCAGCACTGGCCACTGCGTACGCATTTGAGAAAAATCGACAACAAATTACTAAGGCCTCATGAATGCAGTGATAAACGTCTTCCGTTGCCTCTAACAAACATTTACGTCATGCTAGAGTTGTTCTTTAAAGGCATTATCGAGTTGTTGATATGGGTAGGTCATCGAAAAACCTTTACATGATTTTTCAACTTTGCTTGCCTTTCTACTTAGTGTCGTAAAGTAGTGTAGTACACTTACTTATTTGTAGCGCATACGACAGGTCCTGGAAACCAGTAACTGTTAGCCTATGCTAACGGAAGTTATCAGCTGGGCTTATAGTAGGGATTATGCGACTGTAGTACTAACCTTAACTCTAACTCTTACCTAATTGCGTGTTCAATTAACCCTGTTTCGATAGTGCGTCACGCATCCTATAACCCACTAGGCTTTGAAGCCTAAGGCGTCACAAATACTAGAATATACCCCGCAATCTTCAAGGGATTTTAAGTGCTTCATCCGTACGTCATTTGGTGTGCACATATGATAAGTGTCACTAAGAGTCGTCCGCCACTATAAAAGCTGCAACTTTTGGATTAACGCTTGATTATTCTCAGGCTCAGTTACTAACTTCGTGTTTTGCGAGGCATGGTACCTTATCTTTAACCATAACCCCGAAATCAGAAGAATTTTAGACAGTTTTATGACAAAGGAGCTTGATACAACTTTATTGAACAAGCATCTGTCCTGAATGGACGACAGAAAGAAAAAACGCTATCCTTCCGCCGCAGGCAGACAGTTTAAAACAGCACTGGTGGTACCAAATGGCTGTTGGAACAACTAACATAGCGTTTAGCTCTTTTTGAACTACATTAAGGTCATCTCGGTGGTATACTTATAGAATCTTTTTTCTCTTTAGAGGTGCCGTACAGCATGAATCTCCCATGTGAACAGTCGCTCGTAAACGCGAAGCTTATTTGAGCACTCCGTTAAACAGATAATGTGATACAGACTTAAGTGTTGGTATCAGCTGAGTAGAGTAACTTTCACCTGAAGATGAGCTCGGTTTAGATAACTCAAGCACACCTTGAGAGGCCACTTTGGTAAGAATAGTTCATAAGTATCACTGAAGTATCACATAACACCACAATTCTATAATACTCGAAAGATATTAATGTAGAGAACCTTTCTTGCCATGTAGCGGTAACAAATGAAAATTTAGTCTACTAGGAACCGGTCGTTATAACAATTGAAAAGCTAGTTAAATGAGGCTACCTACATAGCAGATACATAGATACTAAGATACAATAGACATATATTATTAATATAGGAGCTGTTCTTTAGTTCTAATTCCTGATTCCTATTCAGACATTTGAGTCTATGGAGATGCTACCTTTAAATGCGAAACAAAAGGCTTTCGTTATACCATCAGTCCCGTAAAACAGAAAGCTGGGGTTATGGGATACTTCAGTGGTTCCTATAAGCTATCCTTACCACCACTTTCAATTAGTTCTTCCCGTTTGAGCAACAATACGTCATTTCCAGTTTTTGGAGCTGCGATTTTCCGGCCACTTTCCGCGTGAGAGGAGAGGAAGTGGGAGGTTAGGTGGAAGGAATAGTATATTCTGTACAGAAGTAGGGGAGAATATGTTAGAGAAATTTTGCAGCAGGACGAGCGTCCGTTCGCAGTCGCGGGGGCGACGTCTGAAGTATGAGAGTGCAGGAGTCATCGTAAGGCCTCCAGTGAGGCTGTGTGTGTCGGCCCC